AGTTAGGATAGGTGGTAGGACCAGTTACTGAAATATTCTGTGGAGCCAGTCATTCAGTGTTCATCGCTTGAAAAGATAATGCTGGGGAGAAGAGATCCTTGCTCCATGGCTCTAGGCGCATGCCCACATTTACTCTGATGATCACGCAACTGCTGTCTGCTTGGAGGTCATGCTATACTGTGTAAATTCCTCTGTCAGTTTTCCCACTTGCCATAGTGGGAAATGCTGGTATTTACAGATATTCCATAGCAGAGACTTAAAGAATGAACTTACCTAAGAATCTGTGTAATGTAACCATGTCTAACTGGAAATGATGGATAAGCCCATGTACGTTGAAGAGGTGGCACAGCAGGGTTACTAGGCTGTTTCCTGGGAGAACAGAGAGTGTCCTGTTAATCTGATAAAACTTCACTTAGAAAGCTTCATAGTAATGATGCCAATAACTGACTTTGCAATCTTGCCAGCTCTGCTCCTGTTTTATCTGCTCTAAGCCTAGTCCACTGATCACCTGCCCATATCGCGACTGGTCAATTCAATATAGATCCATAACCGGGCAGATGACTGTGCAGACGGCTGATCTAGTGTGGCAGCTGTGAAGCACTTCCTATCCTACCCAGAACAGTATTTCCACTTCAAAGGGAATACTTTAGTCATGGAATCCATGAATCACAAAACATTCTAAGGGTATGTTTTAGGGCATTATCCGATTTCATAAAGGAGCACACTCCTGGTTCTATGCTGATCAATGACTTTGTCCCTCCACAGCTGCACCATGCATGGGAAGATGGGTAACAGCCAATAAGCTGTTGTCTTTTGAACAACTTGTCCACTATTACATCTCTGAAGGGACCCCCCCCCCAAACACACAGCTCAGGGGGAAAAAACAGGGCTTCTAACAACATAGATGGAAAACCACTGAATTATATCATAATGCAAACTTCAATTGTATTTTCATCTCGGTTATTTTTATCCTCAGCACTTATCCAAAGCTAATTTGTGCCTGATGCCAAACAAATTACTGAGAAACCAATTGTTAGCAATTTTAATTAATTTTTAAATTAACAAGCAAACATATGAATGAAGCACATGTCTTATGAACGCACAGAAACTGACATTGATTTTTTTTTAAATGCTCCATTGTACAGTGAAAGAGCTCTTTTCTGCTGCATATGGGGTCCAGGTCCAACTGGCACTCAAATATTTTACGGTCCTTTCTTCCCACCATCATATTACCTTCACTCATTTATAAAAGCCATCAGTGTCAAATCTCTGAGTGCTGACAAATTCAGATTCAGGAATGTAAGAATTCCTGATACACTCAAACAGCAAATTATGGAAACAGGAATTGATGTTTGTTTAGGTATTTCTCCTGCTCAGTCTCAGGAGCTAAAAGTAGAAAATATTTCTTTCCATAATAAGAAAACACCTTTGGAAAAGGAAAGTATATAATTTAGGTTATTTATTTATTCCTAATGCTACATCTGGGTTTATGGCAATAAATAGGTGGGCTGAGACTATTGTTTTTAGCAGGAGTTAGGAGAATGAAGAGAAAAGACTACTGACAAACATAGGACTGGATCCAGCCTAGAATTTCCATGTATGGAAAGAGGGCAGTGATTCTGGTGATATCCACCCTCCTGTGGTAGCTCCAAACACCCCTGAAATGCTGTTCCCGGGGGGGCGGGGAGTCATGAAGAACTTGTTTTATATTGTTTTTAACAAAGACGGTTGAGATCTCTCAGCAATTTGCACACACCATCAGGTACTGTACAAGGCAATTCCATGAAATATCATGATGATGTAGTTGAACTGATGCACATTTCTGCACCCTTTCGTTCATACTGACATACAGAAAGAAAAACTCTTAGGAATAAAAAATTTAATAAGTGTGTGTGACTGCAGCCTAAGTATAGCTACCTGAAATGGATTTCAGAATTGGGTTCTTTCTTTCTTTTTTACAACTTACCATTTGTCAAGCGGTCAAACAAGAAAATGTCAAAATCCCACATTCCCACTTTGGATAGCATGTGCTGGAAATAGAAATATAATATAAATATAAAATGCAGAATGATGACTTGTGCAAACTAAGCCCAAGTAATTTACCATTAAAACTAATACTAAATTTCTTTTCTTTTTAAAATAAAAAACAGAGATCAAGACTGCCAGAAGCTATATTTATGATTTGGGGAAATCCCACCACCACCCTCAGGCATGTGGAGGTGGGCTGAGTGGTGAAGGAAATGCACTCTGCACCTTCTCAAAAGCATGATTATTCATTCACATGCTCCAGAGCTGAGCCTTAGTCAATTTAAGCCTCTGTGAAGACCATAAAGGACAAAATGCCATTCAACTTCTTTAAACTAAAAGGTTTGAAGGAATTTTGCTGTTTTGCACAGGGAGTATGTGAGTCTCATGCTTTGGGAGGAATGAAATGGTAAATTATAAAGACATTTAACATGGATATAACAGTTCTGGAAATCCTGAAGTCACCAAAAACCTCAAGAGTTTGCCAGGCCTCCCCACCCACATTTGGGTGTGTGGGAGAATTAAACATAATGAAAGATATCATAGTTATATTGTTGGGGGATAAAGAAATATAACAAAAGTAGAAAATAGAAAGTATTGCACCCAATTTGGGGGGAATTAAACATAACGAAATATATCATAGTTATATTGTTGGGGGATAAAGAAATAAAATAGAAATAGAAAATAGAAAGTATTGTACTCAAAGAAATGCTTTTTTTGTCTGGATCTAGAGACACTGACTGTATCTAAATGTCAAAGCACAAGTCTCAAAGACCTTGGCTTTAAAATCCTGATCAGTAGGCAAGATACAGACTACAATTTGCAAAGGTCCTGTTTTGGATGTCATGGCAATTGCAGTTAGTTCTACACAAGGAACCCTTCAATCCTGCACATTATTCAATGGGAGCATGGAGGAGTCAAGCAAGCCCAAGGTCTTCCGTATCAGCTATTTGCAGACCTCAGCATTATCATGCAGAAATATATGCTTGGAGGAAGAAAACAAAACTTCACGTAATGTAGCTATGTAGTAGCAATTGATGTGGATATGCAGTTAAACATTAAACTCTTTGGTAGCAAATATCATAGTAACTTAGTAATTATTCACCAGGCTGAATTCATCTATTTATTTTATTTATATCCCACACTGTCCCAGTAGATAAAGATATATCTGAAAACAACTGAGATCTATTTCTCTAATCTGAACCTTATTTTCCCTACACACCCCAAATGTCCAATTGTCTATTTTAATTGGGGGGGGGGGCGGTTTAGGAAAGGTTTCCATACCCTCATATCTCTACTACATGTGCATGACTAGGAAAATAACCAGGGATTCTACACTGGATCTCTTAACATGAAAGTCCTCAGCATTAAATCTGAATGAGTTCAACCCAGAGATGGTGTTCTTAGTTTAATCCCCACTTTGGTTTAGAAGGATAAATTTTTTTAAAAATCTCTAAATCTGTACACTTCTTACCCTTGCTTGACCAAGATAGTCTTCATCCAGCAAATACAATGAAGTTTGTGGTACGATCCCACGCAAGAGCCTGGATGCATGGAAATATCTCTGAAAGCTTAACAGTCTCTTTACCTTTTTCTTTGTGCTAATTTCCCCTGAGTAAATGGTATCTGTGGAAAAACAATTGGTACAAAGAACTTCACTAAACCAACAAGCTAGAACTCAGTGAAGGTCAACTCGTAGTTGATGCATTTTTAAAGTGCAGGCATTGTGGTTCTTTTCTCCAACCCAAAAGAAAACAAATGCATTTTTAACACCACATCTAGTTGTCACAAGGAAAATGATAAAATGAATGATAAACTCTGGAATACACAGAACATCTAAGCATGGGTGTTTTCATGTTTTTTATAGGAAAACTGAATTAAGGAACAAAGATAATTATTTATGTTTATCCTCATGATATTTCAGTGAAAACTAAAATCCAGAAATCAGTATGACAGCAAGAGTACAGTACTGCTACAGATAGACTAACATGACTACCCATCTTGAGATATCAGTATGGTTGAGAACCCAAGATAAGGTTGCCAACTCCAGGTTGGGAAATACCTGGAGATTTTGGGGGTATAGCCTGAACAGGGTGTAGGGTTGCCAAGTCTATTTACCTTGGTGGTGGGGGAGCCCCGCTGGGCTCCGGGAGCTCTCCGGCGACGTGCGCGCGCCGCCAGCACGTCACAGGAAGTGACACGCTACATCGCTCATGTTGGGGGCGTGGCCCCGATTGTCGGAGGGGTTTTCCCTCCGACGATCGGGGCCACGCCCCCAACGTGAGCGATGTGGTTGCATCACCTCTGGTGACGCAACCACGCTGCGCTTCGGGGGGCGGAGTTCCCCCCGGGGCCTGATTTCACGGTGGCAGAAATCGGGCCTCCAAAGCGGGGGTTTACCCGCCTCCCACCTCCACTTGCCAGTCCTAGCAGGGTGGGGTTTGGGGAAGGGAAGGACTTCATTTGGGTATGATGCCATACAGTCCGGCTTCCAAAGCAGCCATTTTCTCCAGGTGAACTGATTTCTGTTGCCTGGAGATAAGTTGTAATCCCAGGAGATCTCCAGCCATCACCTGGAGTTTGGCAACCATAACACAAGAACAGTCTGGTCCTGCAACCACCATTAATATTTTACAGAATTGTGCATGTGGAGTGTATGGCACTGTGAAACACTGCAGTTTTCATTCCATTCTTACTATTTAATGTATTTAATTTCCATTCAAACTGCTCAAACACAACTGCCCTCATCTCTTTTGGAAGAAAAATGGTGGACCTTAGGAAAGACATTGAAACTTATATGGGGAACCATAGAGCACACACAATATATGGGTTGATTACTCACTATATTGGGTCAGCCCTCAACAATCCATTTTGGACAACACCGTCAGGCGTTACCCAAAACAGTGTTAAACATATATGTGCTCACATGTATATAAAATGTATTGATTTTTAAAATTTGGATATTGTCGTAGCAAAACGTTTATGTTTCACTAGATACTCATGTCTTGAAATAGATATTTATGTTTCTATTATTATGGAAGCCCCAAATTTAAGGTGCTTTCCACACAAGGACGAGATTTTGTGACTTCCTTGTTCCTGGTGTGGTTACAGATAAAGTACAGCAGCAATGGAATTTTCACCTGGCACATTTCCCCACACCTTCCCTGCCACAGTCCACTGGAAGTGGCCATTCCCCTCCTCCCCTGGGACACCAGGGCTTTTGCAATTTTTTTTCATTAAAAAGAGTAAGTCTCTAGCCCTACCCCTTGAGACGATATGCATTTCCCCTTATATCTCTGCAGGGAAAGATGCCAGAGACTTTCATTTTTGAAAAGTAAGCATTTAGTGCTGTCCCTGCTACACTTATTGTTACAACAGTATATTTATATACTGATATTCTAACTGCCCATTTTTTAAAAAAAACTATATAAAAAGCATTCTAGCGGTAGGGGGAGGAAATGGCTGTCATATGGGCCAAAAAAATCCATTCTTTTCCACCAACACAGCAGCTATCCAGTCTTTGCTGCAATTATTCCCAAAACTTCAGAGCAAAGGAAGTTTGCAAAAGATCAGAGAACAGCCAGGGAAACCATCAGAGGTGCATGAATGCACCATGTTGCTGCAGGAAAGCAGGAGGGGGAAACACTGCTTCCCAAAAGCATTGAACTTGGGGCAGATCTAAAATAGCTTTATGTTCCTCATGTACAACATTAATCTATACCTGAATTCTAAGTAGGGTTGCCAAATCGACTTACCTCGCCGGCGGGGGACTCTGGGGTGGCTCTCGGAGCACGCGCGCGCCGCATGCACGTCACAGGCAAGTGACCCCTCAAATGGCTGTGGCCCCGCCCCCAGCGTGCCCGGCATCATGACGTCACTTGCCTGTGATGTGCATGCGGGGGTGGGGTTTCCCCAGGGCCCGATTCCGCGGGGGTGGAAATCGGGCCTCCAAAGCGGGGGGGAATCTGCCCCTCGGGGGGAATTGGCAGCCCTAATTCTAAGGCGGCCAGATATCTTGCTTGTCCTGCAATTCTAGTTGCCTGTCACCATTCAGTAGAATGGTTCAGTAGAATGGTGAGGGGGAAAATGTGTGGGGAAATAGGTGTGATGGCATCACTTCTGGTACAAACCCAGAGTGACATCATTTCATCAGTGCAATAGTCTAGGATTCCACTGAAACTCTATGGCAGGACTATAGAATTTTGGGAGAATCCTAGAGTCACTTCCAGGTTTGTGCCACAAGTGAGATCATGGCATCACTACAACACCCATTTGCTTCTTCCCACCTCCTAAACCTCCCACTGACTGCCAGCACTTTGCTAGCAACCCTTCATTGGTGTAGACTGCAGTGATAAGGACACTTTCCCGGGAGTAAACTGTATGGAAGAACATGGGACCTTGCAGATTGTTCCTTTAATCCACTAGTTCTAGAAGACCACTAAGTCATAGCTGTAAAATCAGTTCTAACACGGAGTGACATTTTATTTATTACTTACTTGGATAATTTTTATGCTGTCTCTCCAGTAAACCTGCACATTCAGAATGCCACAGTACACAATGTAATTTAAGATTGAATGTCTTCAGTTAGAAACTTACTCCTGATCTGGAGCATTACAATAGGATAATTGTTTTAAAATATGGCCATTACAGAGTTAGTGAAAGGAAATAGCCCTTGTTCCCCTTAAAGGAAAATGAACGTAACCTGTAATAACAGAAAACCCAACTTTTAATTTATCATCTTAATGGTCCTTTCACTTTGTTTTTTCTCCTCCTTGTGTCATTTGGAATGTCTCCTCAGTGTTATCATCAATACACCCTCTTCCTTGGAACAGAAGGTCAGGTAGCAAACTTAGCAACTCATCATACGCAAAAATCTTGTTTTAAAGGGAATTTATATATTTAGTAAAACTCAGGGTTTGAGTGACTGGCGAGATACTTGTGTAAAGTAGTGTCCAAGTGACGTAAAACATTTAATTAGATTATAAAAATTATCCCTTACTGTGGTTGCAAAACCACTGTTGAGACACTGCTTTATAGAATATAAATATTCTATTATAAACATTAGTTTTGTTATTTTGTGGGGAGAGGTAGATCCCCACCACTACCAAAAACAAAATGAAGCCTCATAGTTTGTTATAGCAAAAATAAGTAGGTGTCTTGTGACGGTTTAAATAAAACAATTTTATTCCTGCATAAGCTTTAGTGTGCACCAGTGACTGTTTTTTCTTCAGATGCCACAAGTAGATTCCTCAGTGTACAACCTGGAGAGACCTACTCATCCATCTTCACCCAACTAAATCTCTATGATGCACAAAAAAATTGGTCTTTAATCCAAGATTAAATCCTGGATGACTGCTGTTTTATTGTGAAACAGCTTGGCATTCAGAGCAGCCCTTTTAGGACTAATAAGTGGCCAGGAGGATTACCGTTTGGTGCAGACTATTTGGTGGCAACTCTGAATTTCCTCTCCATACTTATCCACTGAGTACAGTAGGGTTGCCCAATGTCCTCTTTTTAAGAGGATGTGTCCTCTTTTTTTGGAGTCCATCCTCTTTTGGGCTTTTAAACGAAAACTGATGAAACTGTCCTCTTTTTGGGTTGGAAGGTTAGGAATATTCCTAGATAGTAGCAGTTATCACAGCTTAAATAGTAGGGGTATTTAAAATAAGGTTTGTCATGGTGATCACTTGTTTGAAGTGGTCAGTCAGGAAATATGTCCTCTTTTTTGCTTTTCAAAATATGGTAACCCTGGAGTACAGGGTTTGTTACATATTATCTATTACCATTGCATCAACTATATGTTCTGTTTGCCCTGACATTTACTGATAGCCTGTCTGATATTTTGGTACCACTTACTGCCATATGAAATTCTCTGACCATTATGGTCGGGGGGGGGGGAGGCTTCTAGTACTCCTTCTGTTTTGGGGATTTTTAATGATTTTGTACTGTGGCTTTCCCCCATTCATTTTATTGCAACGTTGCTGCTAATTTTATGCTGCTATTTTTAATATAAATAAATAACTCACTAACAGAAATAACCAAGCTTTTTGACAAATGTGCCAGAAGTACAAAGTGTTAATGCCACATCTGTGAACATATTTTAATAGCGAAGTCAGGATTTCTTTGGATACTTAAATCCAGTGACTGGAGCTGTGAACAGGCAAAACAGATCTTTCTACAAACCTGAAAAGTGCCTTAAGTTTGCAGAAAAATGTGAAATCTAAAAAAATTACCCTGGGCAGCTTAAAATATCAAAAAATGATAAAAGGAGCACCTGTTGCTTTAAGCAACAAATTCTCTCAGTGGCAGGCTACCACAGTATTACAGGCTTCAGTTTCTGTGATTAAAAATGGAGGGGACAGGGCGATCTCCAGGCATATTTTGACCTTTGAGGGAGAACTCATTGGGGCCAGGCCTGGCTGGGGTTCCTAGCTTCAGGTTGGAAAATCCATGGAGATTAGGGTTGCCATCTTCCACCCTCAGTGGAGGACTTTGGGGGTGCTCCTGGAGGGGGCGGGGCATCCCCGACGTGATGACGTCACATTAGGGACGTCCGCTTCCCCACCACCCGCGCGCTGGATCTCCAGAAACAGCAGTTTCCTTAGGGAGAGAGGGGAGTGCCTGTACGTGTTGGGGGGGGGGCTTGCCCCGCCGGCCATTTGGCCGGCGGCGGGTTGAACCCCCCTCCCAAAATGGGGGACCCCTGGCAAACAGGGGGGGGGTTGGCAACCCTAATGGAGATTTGAGGGTAAAATCTGAGGAGGTCAGGTTTGGGGGAGGGGAGTGGCCTGAGCTGATTACAATGCCACAGAATCCACCCTCCAAAGCAGTCATTGTCTCCAGTATGACAGATCTCTGTTGTCTGGAGTTCAGTTGTAATTCTGGGATATTTCCAGGTCCCACCTGGAGGCTGGCAACCCTAGGCCCGGAAGCAACCTCTGGGTGACTTGATACCACCCGACTTGCATGACTGAACTAGGCCTGGCTATTTGCTACTGTTCAACAACAGCCACCTTATGAAAGACAGTAGCAGTTAGAGCTGCAGAGCAGGGTCTGTGAGACCCAGGTTCAAATCGCCATCTTTTCTGTTGAAGCTGACTGGGTGATTTTCAACCAGTCACATACTTTCAGACTGACCTACTTCACAAGGTTGTTGTGTGGATAAAAAGGAGAAGAGAATAATGTAAGCTGCTTCGGTCCCCAAAGTGGAGAAATACCAAGGTTTTCTTAGATAGATGATGCAGGGAGAGAGGCGACACAAAGCTGAAGACAGAGGGGCAGATAAAGTTAGTTTGGCTGTTGGGTGGGAAGGAGATAGGGTTGCCAAATCCAGGTTGGAAAATTCCTGGAGATTTGAGGGGTGGAGCCCAGGGAGGCTGGGGTTCGAGGAGGAAGGGACCTCAGACAGGTATATCCAAAGCCTTCCCAGCTTGCTCCCTGCCCCTTGCACTGGGGTAACTGTGAAAATTCCCATAGAAGAATAAAATAAGAGACTGAAAATACAGAGCTTGCCAGTAACATCCTGTCACACCTCCAAGCCACAGTGCAGCTATGGATACCAACTAAGCCTGCAGCCAATCACAGCTTTCCTAAGCACTACATCAAACCCAGCCAGGATATCTATATCTTAGATGACAGGGCACACAGCTACGTCTCTCTGGCCTCACATTAGGAACACACAGAAAAACAAGTGGGCAACCCCACAACAGGGTGGTTTGCACAAAGAGGGAGCTAAGGAAAAGAATAATGTATAATTCTTCCCTCAAGCTGTGAGTGCTGCAAATGATTCGCCATGCCCCCACATGTACCTGTTTTCTGTATTGCCTCAACTATTCCTCCCTCGGCAGGTGGCTTCAATACTTATGCACAGTGCAGAAAGGGACATGCAGCGGCAGAACCATACCTACAACCCGTCCTTAGGCCTGCGATATAAAAGACTGAGCAGTACCAATTGCTGGTAAAATCGTCATTCCAGTCCTGGATTTGCACAAAAATGGCTTGCAGGAGAATTTTGTGGTGTGAAAATAATTAATATAGGATGTGGGGCTTTCTTGGTGTTTCTGATATGTACTGACAGTGGAGTAAATTAAGATTGTTCCTAAATCTAAGCTCCTGGTTGGGTTAAAACTTTGATGCTTAAAAACATCTTCTCAGTTTGAATCGTACACCAGGTGGAAGCACATCCAGTTCTGTTCACACTGTGCTGTGCTGTGATTCACCAATCCAGTGCAATTGCACCGTATGGAATTCCCTCTTGATCCTAATGAAGGCAATCAAAAAATGTGCTGTATCAGTCATTGACAGACTACATCATTGGGTAATGAAAGATAATTTTAATCACCAAGATTGAGTCACTGAAAGGATCTGGTTCAGTGACTCACTAAACAACTTAAGTCAATCAGAGAATTAAATTATTGTTGCCTTACCAGTAAGAATCCTTTGATGAAGCCAAGCTAGGCTAAGCGCCAATAAAAGAAAAAGTGAATGAAGTAAACGTTCGATACTGGAGCACTTGAAATTTACACTAGACAGTGTACAGAGTGCCTTGTATCTCCACAGATGGGATTCTGTTTAGTTTATACAAACCACAGCTCTCCCTAACAGAATAAAGAATTGTAAAACACGTGGAACATTATGTGGGTGAATCATGCTCCAGGATCCCACAAATTTATGGAAGGAAAATGACTCCATAAATGTTCCAGAACTAATCAGAATTTCTTATTCTAAAACTTTTTGGAATCTGGCACTAGGGTTTTAAGAGCACATTTCGTCTACCTTATTTAACCACCTTAGTTTTTTTTCAGATATCAAATATCAGGAAGCTGCAAAGATTCTACTCTTTTTCTCTTGGCCATCACAGAATGGCCCCCATGAATGTTCAGTTACAGAAGGCATGATTTGTACAAACCACCGCCAAATAGCTAGATCCATGGACTGCCTAAGAATTCCGTTGCAGACACTGAAACTCATGTTCCTACTTTTATGAGAAGATATGCTGAAGGGGAATGTTGTATGCATGAGGTCTTACACAACTGTATATTGTATTTTCCTATACACATGCTTCATGTCAGTAGTGGGAATCACAATAATAGGCACTGATATATGGCTGTAGGCAGATTAATGATGGGAAGAGGTTTTTAAAAAGGGGATCATAAATGAAAGGTTAAAGTATGATGAACTGCAGAACATAAATGAATATGTGTGAGGGTTGCCAGCACCCGCTGGAGGTGGGGGATCACCCACAGGTCCCATCCCTGATCAGCTGGCCAGAAGGGGGACTTACCAGGAGCAGGAAGGTGGCCCAGGTTACGTTGCTGGCAACATGGTGACATTACTTCCGGTGTGTACTGGAAGTGATGTCATCATGTTGGCGACATCCGGGTGACACTCTGGTATTTGGGCATAAACTCTATGTTAGAAGCCATTTTTACTATAGAGCTTTTGCCCAAATAGTATTGCTGGGACATCCCAGTGTGATTACAACACAGAAGAAACCTCCCAGGATATGGAAATCATATGCAAAAAATATGCAGTAGAATAGTAAACACATCAAGTGTGCAAATGGAAATACATTTATAAGACATACAATATTACAAGGCAACAGTTCTCAGTGTCAACAGTTTTCCAACAATTTACAGTCCAACAGTATCAACAAATTATGAAAAGTTCGGCTTCAACTTCGTTTCGATGGAAAAGTTAAAAACTTTTTATACGTGGGCAAATCTCTATGTGGAGTTCTTACAGCTACTACAGTTTTTAAGCCTATTGAAGGGCTAGTCCCAGATAGTATACTGCATAGCAACATAGAGAATGTTTTGTTCATCTGCAAAATAGGATTCAAATACATAATGGCTGCTGGTAAACACTTCTGATGAAGTTTTCCATCGAAACAAAGTTGAAGCCGGACTCTTCGTAATTAGTTGATATTGTTGGACTGTAAATTGTTGGAAAACTGTTGACACTGAGAACTGTTGGTCTGTAATATTGTATGTCTTATAAATGTATTTCCATTTGCACACTTGATGTGTTTACTATTCTAATACATTTTTTCATATGATAGCAACTTTCCCAGTTTGTGTTTTTTGACATCCTAGTGTGATGACATCACTTCTGGTACATGCCAGAACTGGCGTTGTTGCATTACCAGCAACATAGCCTTGGCCTCCCCCCTGCTCCTAGTAAGTCCCCCCCCACCCCCACCGCAACTCTAACACGTAGACCCAACAAAGACTAACAGTTGATGGTTAAATTTCACCAACATCCTGACTTTGCCTTTCTTCTGCAGTGGCAATTGCATTAAACAGGGTATTCCTTGAGCATATATACTGTGAAAACAAGTGAAAAAAGCACCTACAAAGTCAAAACAGAACATAATTAGTGGACATGAAGTATAGAAAATAGTTCTTACTTTGTGTATGTATGTATATAAATACAACTTCAATTGTCATCTTAATTTCCCCATATTATCCCACTTCCCAAGCAGTGATGTACTTACTGTTGAGAAGACGGAAATCTATAAATGGATAGGAACCACGTCGCTCAGAGAGAACCCCTGTCTGATCTCTCAGCCGTGCATCTCCTGTAAAACATGATAATCCAATAAATACTAGACATACTAACTTTTTTTTTTGGAAAGTATATTAAATTGTATTGAGGAGTGAGATTAACATAATCAGAATTATCTGCCTAGAAATAAAGTTAAACCTGCTACACTCAATGATATCTAAAAGGTTAAGTGAAAGGTTAAGATATGATAGATTGCAAAATGTAAGTGAATAAGAGTATACCTAATAAATACTACAAAGACACACACATTTATATGTGTATATATGTATATTTATATATATATATATCTCCAAGATAATAATTACAAATAAACCAAAACTTTTTGAGCACAGTCTTGAGGACTAGTTCCTTTGTGCAACTCTAACACGTAGACCCAACAAAGACTAACAGTTGATGGTTAAATTTCACCAACATCCTGACTTTGCCTTTCTTCTGCAGTGGCAATTGCATTAAACAGGGTATTCCTTGAGCATATATACTGTGAAAACAAGTGAAAAAAGCACCTACAAAGTCAAAACAGAACATAATTAGTGGACATGAAGTATAGAAAATAGTTCTTACTTTGTGTATGTATGTATATAAATACAACTTCAATTGTCATCTTAATTTCCCCATATTATCCCACTTCCCAAGCAGTGATGTACTTACTGTTGAGAAGACGGAAATCTATAAATGGATAGGAACCACGTCGCTCAGAGAGAACCCCTGTCTGATCTCTCAGCCGTGCATCTCCTGTAAAACATGATAATCCAATAAATACTAGACACGCTAACTTTTTTTTGGAAAATATATTAAATTGTATTGAGGAATGAGATTAACATAATCAGAATTATCTGCCTAGAAATAAAGTTAAACCTGCTACACTCAATGATATCTAAAAGGTTAAGTGAAAGGTTAAGATATTAGATTGCAAAATGTAAGTGAATAAGAGTATACCTAACAAATAATACACAGACACACACATTTATATGTATATATGTATATTTATATATATCTCCAAGATAATAATTACCAATAAACCAAAACTTTAGAGCACAGTCTTGAGGACTAGTTCCTTTGGATGTTTCAGTTAAATTAATGAGAGTAGTGCAACAGCCAATTGTCCATACATTGCCATAGTCCATGACATTTTTGTCATTTCCCTCCCAAGGAGTCATTCTTCAATTCAGTGTTCTTGTAATCCATAACTGGTAAACAAAAACATCAACATTTGGAAGAAGCTTTTTTCTTTTATGGTCATTGACCATTATACATTGATCAGTTCCATAAAAGAGCACTGCTATCATGGCTCTGTAGGCCATTCTAACATCTGGTTTTTATTCCATGGAGAAGCAGAAATGTGGGGCAGAAATTTTTCCAGTGTATTATGTTCAACAGAAAATCTTCCATTGCTAAACATTTATTTTTAAATCACATTCGATAATGATTAATGGATGTCATTGCGATGCAAGTGTATTAGTTTCAGAGTTATAATTATTGTTTTGCAGGTGATAATCCATAGGAACTGTGACAAAGAGTATTGGTATGTTTTATTGATTTATAAGCGGAGTTGGGGGGGGGATAAAACCACAAATGCATAATCCTAAATCTAAAAGAAATCTAAAAAGATCAAATTATGCATGGATCTGATTAGCTGTGCAAATCCAATCAAAACCAAAGACAAACTTCTCATCTGTACATTTCCTCTCACATTATGTGAAGTGTATTGTAATCACCAGTCTCATAGGCAACAAACAAGTAATGAAAGTCATGCTACAGAGGGTGAAACTGAGAGGCATCGGTGACCTCCATGGAAGACAGCATAAATACTGTTGAAACAGATAAGAGGACAAGCACATCCTTGGCATATCATGCACAATTCTGGTGGTTCGCTAAAATTACTTAATCAACAGTTTCCCATGCCTTTAGGTTTTATTTTAAACAACATAAAGGAAGCACATGTTACATTGTCTTTAAAAATTAAGAAGTAGTATTCAAATAAAATGATTTTCCATAGAAAGTTTTGAATTTGAACATAACGCTTAAGTCATACTTTCCCCTAATTAAATATTTACTCATATTGGGGCACAAAATTAGCATAGGGTACTTTTAAATTTTTGTTTATTAAATACAAGTCAAAAGGTACAAGCTAACAAGGCATTTGAAATTTCCCCCCCAGAAAACCCATATCACTGTGGATAAGGACCCAGTGAAGAATACACACTGGAAGCAATATACATACAAGCAGAATCTACTGAAGATCTGCAAGCAGGAGACCACATTCCTACCTCTTCATCACAAATCTTACCTGCAAAATTCACATGCATTTTGGATTCCAACACATTTTTATAGATATTGTACAATTATTATTCTTTAAAGGAACCACAGTGTTTGGAATCAGTCCTCTGTCCAGGCTCCTGATCAATTTATACTAGTCATGACTGACACGACAACCCTAAGAACACTGTCCTGGGAATAAGCCCCATTGAATAGACTTGTGTAGAATTCTGAGTAAATCTGCTTAGAACTGCTCGTTGGCAGTGGCATTGTAAGAACACTTTCCTTGGGAGTAGGTCTCCGTGAGCACCTATTTCTGTCTGGTGCTGGTGAGAGGAAAATACGCAGCTGCCCTGGGTCTTATGTCAAGATAGGCTTCTCCACGTCGTCCCACCCCCCTTGTGTGGGTATCTTTGACACCACCAGCTAACCAACTTTTCTTTTAGGCTTCCAGACTGAAGTTTAGAGCTCAGACAACTTAGGCTACTTTGTGGCTTAAAGGCTTAGCTCCATGTTGTATCTTCCTATTCTTCTGCACTGAATACTGAGGGAGGACAACACTCTAGTGAAGCAGAGTTAAACCACTGTTCCTCCCCTTTCTGCTCCTAGTACGTGTGGACTGAACAGGGGTTAAACATGAGTTACAGCTATCAGAATGACTGCATTAAAAATGAAAAGAATTTTAACAAAAATACAAAGCACAAACTGCATTTTCAAACACAAAGATAAAAAGAAATATGAACAAAACACAATCCTCTAAACCCTGACTCTTACATATCCCTAAATATGGTAATTAGAGATAGATCATATAGTTCTTGGAGCTGTAAGCTATTAGAAATAATTAGGGTTGCCAGAACCCGGTCTGGCCAGGGGATCTCTCAGTCTTTGGGGCTCCAATCCGCTGCAATCCAGCTGGCCGGCAGGGAAGCCCCACCCCCAAACAGGGACATCGCCACATGATGTCCCTCTCACAATGATATCACCCGGAAGTGACATCATCACGTTGCCAATGTCAGGGGGGTGACACTCTAGTTTTTGGGCAAACTCCATGGTTTGGTGAGCCAGTTTGGTGTAGTGGTTAAGTGTGCAGACTCTAATCTGGGAGAACTGGGTTTGATTCCCCACTCTTCCACATGCAGCTGCTGGTGTGACCTTGGGTCAGTTTTAAGTTCTTTCAGAGCTGTTCTCTCACAAGCAGTTCTCAAAAGAGCGCTCTCAGCCCCATCTACTACACAGGGTGTCTGTTGTGGGGAGGGGAAATGAAATGAAATTATAAGCCTCTCTGAGACTCTTTTGGGTAGTGAAGGGTGGGGTATAAATCCAATCTCTTCTTTGTTTTCTTTGAGGGCAAAAAACCATAGAGTTTTGCCCAAAACTTGAGCATCACCCCCTGATGTTGGCAACACCTGGAGCCCCCTCCCAGGAGCAAGGTAAGACCTGGCTACCCTAGAAATAATCCATTCCCTTGTTTTCTGTATCCAGGGATAACCCTACTGAGTTCAATGCCGTATGCTCATAGCTACTTTTGGGAGTCAAGATGGATTCCATCCTTATCCTTAGCATGTAAAATGTTCATTACAGACAAAGTTTTTGATGTAGTTAGAAGTGGCTCTAGAAGACTATCTCTATTAATATCTCTTTGAGATTTGTTACCATGGATGGTCCTTCACCAGTTTATGAATTCCTTGATACTTAACATTTGGATATGTTTCTATTTCTCTATTTTAAGAATAGGGAACAGAAAATATCTATCACCAAACCAGGTCTTTTATTTTTACATACAGTAAGTGTGCAGTGCCCTGACCTGGAAAGCCCAGGCTAGCCTGATTTTATCAGATCTCAGAAGCTAAGCAGGGTTGGCCAGGATCAGTATTTGGATGGGAGACCACCAAAGGAAAACCAGGGTTGCTATGCAGAGACAGGCAATGGCAAACCACCTATGAACATTTCTTTCCCATGTTAATACCATTTGATGGCTGTATAAAATACTTTATTCTCCTCCTCCAACTTGTTACTTCAAGTATAGTACAATTCTAAGAATATGTACACCATTAGAAAGGCATGACTAGGATTAGTTACTAATTCAGTTGCTCTCCTTTAGGGTTGCCAACCTCCAGGTGGTGCTTAGAGTTGTCCCAGAATTACAACTGATCTCCAGACTAAAGAGCAGCACTGGACACACAGTCTGCATGTTAAGTCTAATAAAGAAATATTAATTTTTACCACTGATGGCCTAGGTAATAGCCAATAAATTGCTCTGATATGCCTTCAAACACATCGCATGTAGCATTCTAAATTACACATTTTCAGTCATGTAATCTGAGGTATGGGTAATATGACTTCTCTGCAATAAATTCAGCTGCTGAACATTATGTTATTTTTAAAACACATTATGCTATTGTTAAAACACTTGTTTATGCCGTAGCCCCTTTGTTTGGCCACTATACCGTAAGTGTGAAGCTTCATACAGATCATTGTAGATGAATTACGGTAGTTGTGGTTTTTGTTCCGATTATTTTTGTTCATATAACAAGTTTTTTTGAAGGATATGAACTTCTGAGCAAGAATACTGTAAAGCAGTTGTGACAAGTCCACAAATGTGAATTGTTTGCCTTTACCTGTGTTTCCAAACATTACCTATAAGTGATGTGAATCAGCTGCACTGGAGTATGCAAGTGATGGAGGCCATCTACTTTGGGAGATGTTTCTTTGATAGTGCAGTGCAGAATATACCCCTAGTTCTGTTCTAACTGGTGATGTATAAATAAGCCACATTTCATTTTTTTTCTTTCCCTTTTCCCCATCCTTGAAACTTTAGTTGTAGCCACAGGCTTGCTTCTTGTCATTTAGTTGATGTTCCAATGACTACAAGCTATCATCACAGTACCTATGTGATGCTATGTGTTTTCAAATCATTCACTTGGGTTTACATTTTTGAATAGGTTAAAAGATTATTCAAAGTCCTAACTATACTTTAATATTTAAATGTGCAATAATAATCAGAACTATTGTTTGTTCCACACAAGTGTGGCCTTTGGCAATATAAAGCTATCACTTAATTTTTAAAGCAAGGCCTCCCACTGAAATCACAAGGGATTAATGTTTCTTCTTTATGGTTGTGGAAATTAAGCTTGTAATTCCTAATTGTTAGGACTTTGCCCTTAGTATTCGGTTTCCTGCATAGTTTCCTGGCCCTCCCAAATGATTAGCAGAAGCAGAATAAATGCAATTTATAATGTGTGCAATTCCACAGGGGGAGGGGTTGGTGGCACAAAATGTGGGTTACCTTGTTACAGAATTATTGTTTATTAAGTGCAAAGTTACATAGTCCTGATATAGATTGCTCAACAGGTAAAATGCACCTAGTTACCATGGCAACAATGCACCTAAACCATCCATAAGATATTTCTACTTTGCTTCATTATATAATGCATTTTATTTAGTATGTAAACTCTGTTATTGACTATTCATGTGCC